TTCTCTATGTTCTCTATGTCCTCAAATGTCTTCTCTCTACTCCCTGCCCACATCGCTCACCTTCCTTTAAATGCACCCGTCACATTGGATTATAGACCTCCACGTTGCCTCATTTTCTTTTCTCTCTCCAGTTTTACATTTCCTACTTTCATTGCTCCTGGCTAGTAAGCAGCAAAGCTCTCCCCTTAGCTGATAATCTGCAAAGACTTGATTTCCAAGTAAGGTCAGCGTCACTGGTTTGAGGAACCCGCCGATATTGGGTGGTGTCCTGTGGTGACACGGGACAGACCACAGGGGATGAAGCTAGTGAGTTCTGCAGACTACTTTGAATGCCACAAAACCACGAGCTGGACTGATGGCTGGATGGCAGGAAGGGCAAGTGTGTGGTAGAAACGCTCGGGATAAGTGGAAATGGCCGAATCAGGTGGGGGGATATGAGTTTCCTTATATAGTTGTTTCAGTTTTCTGAAACAAATTTTTCTGGCAATTTAAAAAAAAGATTTATTTATGCATACAGAACTGGGGTACAGGCCAGAGGTGCAGGGGTGGTGAGAGGCTTCACTAGAGACAGAATGGGGAGCAGAACAGGTGGATCTACAAAGTACACTGCTGAGGGGAGCAGTGGGCGAGGCAGGAGAGGCCTGCTGCACCTTGTGGATTAACCGCTGGGGCTGGGGATTGAACTTGCACTGAAGCGGCTGTGGCTGGCTTGCAGTACTGTGTTCTAATCCTTTGAGGCACCAGGGAGGGTCCAATATCTGGCCATATTCATAGTCAAATGTTGGATTTAAAAACAGGTGATGGGGATGAAATGGAAGGATGCGCCAGGGAGTTTGAGTTAACATCACCCAGTGAGGGGCCCTCCCTGGTGGCACAGCGAGTTAGAGAACAAACACTATGAAGCTATGGGCAGCCACTGAAGCAGGAGTTTGCTCCCAAGTCAGGGACTGACCCACAGGGCGCAGCAGACCTCTCCTGTCTCCCTGTTGATCCCCTCAGCAGTGTACGTCATTGATCTCCCTGTTCTACTCTTCACTCTGCCTCTCCCCTCCCCTGCACCTCTGGCTTGTACCCCAGTTCTATATGCATAAATAAATAAACTTTTTTTTTTAAGTCTGTAATAGTTTTTTTAAAGAGCGGATGATGTGTGTGCCAATGTGAACTTCACATGAGCGCTCTGTGGAAGCGAAGCCCAGAGAAGCTTGCCGCGCATGCGCAGTGCGTGAACTACAGGACCTGCCCTCCGCCCCCCCAGGCATGCTTCCGCCTCCCCCAGAATGGAGGGGCTAGCTTCCTTCCTTGCAGGTGATTTTAGGAGATCATTGGCTTTGCATTTGGGGAGGTGCACGTGAACTTCCCCTGAACACACTCTCCATTCTGCTCTTTTGGTTTATTTTCAAGGAGACCCTGCATATTGCTGGAATAACTCATTGCTTTGGCTTGTGGTCAGTCAGAATACACACATGGGCCTGTCAGGAGTGGGGACTTTAAACGCCCTCGTTCAGAAGCTCTCTCCAGAGAGGACTTGAGCTGAGGCCTGAAGACTGAGGGGAGCCTGTCATGGGGAAAATCCATGCCCTGGGGTGGGGTCCAGGGCAGAGGTGAGTCCCGAGGATCCTAATGGCCAAGAGGTTCCAGTGGCTACAGCATTTCAGCCGGCGAAGGAGGAGGCTGGGTGAAGTGTAGCCCACTGGGCGCATATGGGTGAGCAGGTGGGAGGCAGGGAGGCTGGCAAGCGGTGCCTCCACCAGCTCCCAACCACAGGGGATGTGGTGTGGACTGCAGAGGAGATGGGGGATGCCTGCCAGCCGCGGCTTGGTGTGAGCAGGAGGGGTGCTCTGTGAGTAAGGGGGGAATTTGTCAGAAGGGATGACTGGGGATGAGTGCAGGTTTTCTGCAGAAATCAACAGTTAATTTGTTTAGGTCAGATTCTTAGAAGCTCATAGTGGTGCAACATGTGATTCCCAAGGGGTTTCCTCTTTGTCTTTTCCTGACTTATTTATTTTTGTGCAGAATGATTGTGGTGTGGGCTAGAGACATAGGAGTGAGAGGATTCACCAGAGACAGAGTGGGGAGCAGAACAGGTGGATCTACTGAAACCCACTGCTGAGGGGAGCAGCGGGGAGACAGGAGAGGTCTGCTGTGCCCTGTGGGTCGCTCCCTGGCCGGGGATCAAACTCAGGCCATAGCATTGACAGCACCGAGACTTAACCCCAAGCCTACCAGGGAGGCCCCCCCAGGGGTTTCCTTAATGCTCCATCTTAAAACCAATCAAGTCTCATGCAGACTTCATCAAAGGCTGCAAGTATGGAGTTGCCAATGACTTGCTCTTGAAACTTAATGACAAGGCCCTCCCTGGTGGCACAAGGGGTTAAAGTACAGCACTATGAAGCTATCTGCAGCACAAGTTCGATTCCTGCCCAAGGAGGGACACACAGGGCACAGCAGACCTCTCCTGTCACCCTGTTGCTCCCCTCTGCAGTGGACTTCGTCTATCTGCCTGTTCTGGTCCCCACTTTGCCTCTGGTGAATCTTCTCATTGCCCCTTCACCTCTGGCTGGTACCACAGTACTTTTATGCATAAATAAATAAGTATACCTTTCTAAAAAGTTAAAAACCAAACTTAACGATCCTAGAATCTCTGATTCCTCAAATGATCTTGGTTCAAGTCCAGGCCTATGATTCCGTGCCCACCAGTTTCACAGCCACTGTCTGTGGCCTTTGGCTACTGACCACAGGCCCGGTGGCAGGTCTGAACTGGGCTGCCCTGAAGACCGGATTTCAAAGGCAATAGAATGTCAACTATGTTGCAATGGTAAAACTGGATATATTGAGTTAAATAAAATAACTGAAATTCCATTTTGCCTTTTGTTCTTTAAACATGACAGGAGGAAACAGAAAATGTACTGACTTCCACTGCATTTTTGTTGAGAAATACTGCTCTAGGGCAGGGAGGAGTCCTCCAGGTCCTGGACTGTCCAGGGCACAGCCTGGTGGACCAACAGAGCCAGGTGTTTCTGGAAAGTGGACACAACATTCCACTCTCCTCACCCTCCCCCCCCCACCTCAGAAAGACTTTGCTTCAGGATCAGTCTTGGTGTGAAGGTTTGAAGTCATGGAGCGAGGTAGGTGGGGGCAGATTTGGGAAAGGGCCGAGGTCCCCCATCTAACCATGAGAGGACCAAGAATCGAGACCTTTTCCCAGCCCCACCTGCCAATACTGAGAACCCAGAGGGAGTCCCTGCGGGCCCCAGGTGGGCTCCCTTGAAGGGCTGAAGTGGGGGTGGGGCTGGCGCGAGGCTGGCCTTCCCAGCCACCTAGACACAGACTTTCGTTCTAGGACTCCCCAGGTTTCCCCTCCACATGCCTCAGGAGGAGGGCGAGTTCCAACCCAAACTGTTACTCTCAGGGCGTTATCTTCAGGGAGACAGTGCGGTCTTCCCACCTCACGGTGGACTCCTCCAGCCCTTGGAATATTTATCGTATCTTTGCATTAAAAGGATCTTTCTCAAATCTCTGCCCTACTAATTTTGTTTGTTATGGGGCTATGTTGTTTAAGGGTGGAGACCCACCCCTCCGTATTAGAAAATGTCCTTCCTATCACTGAAACAGCCCAGCACATCTCCTCCTAGAATCCTAAATGGACTTTCCCAAGCCCCATTCCTGGAAACCCAAATGGACGAATCCACTGAACCTGGAGGGTGGGCGCTGGGTGCACTGTTTCCTCGCTCCACCTCCCCCAGGTTTCGTAGAAGTCGCAGGATCCTGTCCACCCCCCAAGGCTCATTCCGAGGATGCTCCGCTTCCGAGATTAGAACACGATCGTGCAGTGGGGCTGGGTTCCTTAACACAACAGAAATGGACTCTTCCAGTTCCCTTTGCCCCAAATTTCTCAATAGCCTGGGGCGCTGGGGTTTCTGAGGACTGCTTGCCCGAGGCCCGAGGCCAGAGGGCTCGTGGGGTGCAGAGGGGTGGTGGCCAAGACACACGCGCCTATCTTGGCTTTTCCCCAGCGTTCTCCAGTACCAGGTCGCACTCTTGTTTGTGACTCACAATGTCGATTTGATATTTGCAGTAAGTGGAGATTGCCTGAGGTGTCAGTTACGATTTGGGGGAACAAAACATGAGCGACAAGGTGGTTAAAACCCAAAGTGTAGATTAAGCCCCCGTTTCGTCTCGCCTGAGCTGTGTGACCTTGGACTAGTCACTCGACCTCTCCGAACCTCCGTTTTAAGCTCCGCTTAAAGTGACTAGACTCGCACCCCACTTTCTCCGCTGAGATGCTCGGCCTCCAGACAATTCTGGCCCCCCACTTCTTGGCCCTGGGAGGGGGAGGGGATGGGTGTCTTCCTGGAAGACGATTTAAGGATTTCGGGGTGGAGGGGAGGGAGAAAGGGGAACAGAGAGACGCTTGCGCAGTAACCACCGCACGCTCTCTTGCCCCTCCCAACCCCTTCTCTGCAGCAGGGAATTGCAGACGTCGCTCCACCTATCCCGGCCCAGCTGAGTGACACCCCCCGCCTCCGCGCTCCTTTTCCCCCGGCACCGCCCTCCTCCCGCTCCACAACCGCCCAATCGAGGGGAGGAGTAGGATAAAGTTGACGAATCCGCGACGCCTGCGGGGGAGGCTTAGCTGTCCATTGGTCCCAGCCAACTCGAGTCCCGCCTCCTCAGGCCCGCCCCTTCGCCTTCCTTCACGTCAATCCCGCCCTTCTAGGAGGGCGGCCTGATCCAATCACAACCTGACCTGGCCGGGCGGCGGGGGCAGTCCTACAATACGTCGCCGAACTCCGCCCGTCTCTGGAGCAACGCCCCCTTCCCCCGCTCCCGAACGGAAATAGCGGAGAGCTGGACCAATGGAGGCGGCGTGCCTTTGTCCAACAGCCAATGAGAGAGGGAGCGGGGGTGGGCCTCCGTCTGAGTGGCGGTAATCCGAGCCAATGGACGACTGAGAACGCGAGGCGGTGGGGAGAAGAGGAGGGGCGAGGGGGTGGTGCTGAGGCCTGCCAGCCCGCCCGCCCGCCCGCCCGCCCTCCCCCCTGGCCGGCTCGGCTCCTCGGCGCTGCCTGGGGTCCTTTCCTCCCGGTCCCCGCCTGCCAGCCCCCGCTGCGCTGTGCCCTGCCCGGCCGGGCCTGGAGCCGACACCACCGCCATCATGCCGGCCGTGTCCAAGGGCGATGGGATGCGGGGGCTCGCGGTGTTCATCTCCGACATCCGGAACTGTGAGCGCGGTCGGGGGACCCTGGAGGCGGGGGGAGCGTGGAATGGAGGGGCTCGGGGCTACCGAGGCGCCCTGGGCGGAGAGGGCCATTGCGCTCACGGAGGCGAAGGAAGAAGAGCCCCCAGGGGACCTCGAGGGTGGGGGCCGTGGAAGGGCTGAGGGTGTCATGGAGTGCCGCCCGAGGTGACGACATGGGTGGCAGGCGCGGCCGGGAGGGTCGCAGGGAAGAGGAAGCCGGTGCGGGCCTGGGGATGGGGGCGCAGAGCTCTCCTCCGGGAATGATGGAATGGCGGGGGGTCGTGCGAAAGGCCCGGCCAGAGGAATCTCCGCTGTCGATGGGAAGGGAAGGAGGTGCAGGGGTGGGGACTACCCCGTAGCGAGAGAGTGGAAGGAGGCCAGAGGGGACCCGGAGGACGGGAAACACAGGAAGCCTCCTGGGGCCGGGCTGAGGCCTCTGGTGAGGGGGTGTCACAGCCGGGAAGGGTTGGCCAGGTCCCAGGCTCCTGGCTAGTGCAGAGACGGCCCTGGGAGCCATGAAAGTCCAGCGGCTTGGGGAGGAGGCCTGGGCATTTGGGGGGCGCTGGGAGGACCATGGTGAGGGAGAGACGGGCTCTGCCAGGCAGGTCTGTTGAGGCGACAAGAGGGCTGGAGGGGTTGTGAGGGGAAAGGACCCCAGGAGTGATGCAGGTGGAGAGCCTTGGGAGAGACTGAGACACAGAGGGGGTGGCTGGAAAGGCGGGCGCGTGATAGTGTGGGGGCCCCGGAGTGTGCCAGAAGGGAGACAGCCCGGGGCTCAGAGCAGGGGTCCTGGGGCGCTGGGAGAGAGATCTGGAAAGCTGTGTCCCTTGTCTGGGGAAAACCCGGCCCCAGGTAGGGCCCAGGGCGCAGGCCACTCCTGAGTCCGGAACCCTTTCCCGTCTGGCCAGTCAGCATGGGGACAGCGGTCTCCAGCAGGGGAGGACTGTCGTGACCATGAGGGCCCTGGCGCCAAGTCAGCTCACAACTCCTGGGAGCCGGTGTTGCTGGCTGGAGCTGCCAGGAGCTAGGGTGGCCGCATCTGCTTGGGCTCTGGGGGCCGCCGGCCCTGGGTTTGAGCCTCGTCCCTGCCTGGCCGCGTGACCTTGAAGGAGGGACTTCTCTCAGATTCCGTCTGTCCTATGAGGTGGTGATGGGAGGCAGGGAGGGGGCCCCCCACACCTTCCAGGCACCCGCCCCCTTGGCCGTGTGGTTATTCCTCTGCAGCTGAGGGTCGGGAGCCCCCTCTGACAGCCTCTGCCGGGTCCCCATGATTAACATTTAGCGGGGCTGACAGGAACTGCCCACAGTGCCTGCTCAGTGAGCAGTGGGGATCCAAACTGTTGAGTCTGGGTGGTGTTATGGTTGGTAGCGGAGGGGCGGGGCTCTGGGGGCTGTGGCCTGGGGGCTGTCAGGATAGGTGTGCACCACCTGTCACAGCTGCCAGAGCAGAGCTGCTCCCGGCCAGCCCTTCAGCCTCTGGGGCAGGTTTTCTCAGCTGCAGGCTCCACCGATAAGCGCATCTTGTCTCCTTCATTCATGCATCCGTTCATTGCACACATAGTTTGGTCTCTGCAGTGTGCCAGACTCTTCCAGACTCTGGGACCACACTGGGGAACTCAAGTCCCGCCCCCTGGGCACCCCATGCCTGAGGGTGACAGACAGCAGCACACACCCCAGTAGCTCATTGGTGCTGTGCGGAACACTAGGGAAGGGAACCAGAGTGGGGACCTGGGCACAGGGTGCGGGCGAAGGCCTTACTGAGGCGGTGGCAGAGCGGGGGGAGGAGGAGAACCGCGGATTTGGGAGGCAGGGGAAGGCCAAGCTGGCAGGCCGGAGCCGGGCCCTGAGGCCGCAGCATGCTCAGTGCGTGTGTTCAGATTAGCTTGTGGGGACCCCGGTGTCTGGAGCCGGAGGGGGAAGGGGGCCGAGGGGGCGCGGGGCTCTGCCGTGCTCTTTCTTGGAAACAGCACAGGGGGGTTGGCGCGCGGGAGCCAGCCGCGGTGTAAAATGATGCCTGTGGCTGCTGTGGAGATGGCAGACCCCAGTGCAGGCGCAAGCAGGGACTCTGGGGGGAGCTGCAGGCACGCAGGTGAGAGCCAGCACTGGGGTGGAGGGAGGAGGGAGCCGTGAGAAGCGGCTGGACGGAAGGACTTGCAGCGGTTGGGGCAGGCTGACTCCAGGCTGCGGTGACCACTGGACCCCAGAGGGAAGCCGAGGGGCAGCGGCGGGGCTGGGGCTGGGCCGAGGCCTTCCAGTCAGATGAGTCGGGGCTAGACTCC